TTTTGTTCTATGCGTGTCTTCCTTCTTTTGTTGTTATTCTTCTATGTGGTTTCGTAGATATACACAATCAAACAAGTTTGTGAGCGAATGATCAAAGTCATCCAAATGCGTGGCCTGCTGTGCGCAGTGGTGTTATTGCTGTGGGTTGCCTACGGCGGCAGTGCATTTATTCCGACCAAAGAGTCGATAAGGACTTCGCATACTCCATATATTGCTCCTTACCGGAGGGATAAATACCGGCCGGGGGGGTGGGAACCGTTTCGTATTGCTGTAAACGGGGATGGTATGGTTGACGATATACAAAATTGTGATCACCACCAGGGACCCAGTAATGTATATTGGGTTTTCTTGAAAATGTGGAATCCGACTTATGACTTCAAAATCTGTGATCAACTTGGGAGTTTAAATGTCGATGATACTCCTGGATTCTTCAGGAACACCGTGTATGGTGCTGTCAGACGAATTATTGATCGTCTCTTGGTTAAGCGCGTCAGTGGGAAGCTGAGGGTGATGGATGAAGGTGACAGGGTTTTTTATAAGACCTGTAAAGGACTCATACCCACGACTGAGGACGCAGAATCTGGTATTCCCAATGCTGATGTTGTAATTTATCTGGGTCTTACATCATCCACTTCTCCAAAGACAGAAGTCTGCAGACGCGACGCAAAAGGACGTCCGACAGTTGTCAGTATCAAGCTGCATCCGAACGACGTCCGCGGGCGTGGGGAAAAATACATTGAACGTCTTGAAAAGGAGATTGAACGTGGGATTGAATCCGACAGCACAAATACCGAAACCATGAATACATCATCAGATGAGGGATCCAGTGGGACAGAAGTGATGTATAAGACCATGGATTCATTGTAAGGATACTGTTTTTTCTTTGTTGAATAACAGAGTTTTTTTTTTTAAGTATTATTATCCTGTTTGATAAATCTCTTATTTGCACTATTTTGCTGGACAAATCTATGGGGCTCCCTACGGTGCATTTCAGACGACGAACCGCATTTTTGTGGGGGGAGT